TGCCACCCAAACTTCGAGTGGAAACCAGGTTAATAGTTACTTTTCTTCGATGACTGCTTTTGTCGTCATTGCAACAACTCTTCTTTTTTAGTTAAAAAATGATACCCAGGTCTTTCTAAAATATGAAGAGATCAATCCGGAGCACTTGATTTTACATTTTCTGTGAGAAATTGGACAGTATAGTACGGCATAGCATAGCATAGCACATGGAGCATGGGTCTGCAATTATGGTACGACAATGACTGAATCGAATAAGTCAATTTTACATAGAGGGACTTCAAAATAAATAAGATTTCTTCCGAGTATGCTGATTATGATGAAATCTGCATGATTTATTCGCAAGTGAAGTGTGTACTCTGGTACCTAGGTATGTTTTGTATGTATCTTTTCTCTCTCAATATTCTTGTCAAGAGGCGAGTATGTTATATCCTAAGTGGAAATATCTGGCTTCCACGGGAAGATGCTAATTGAAAGTTGATGAATGTGAAAGAACTGGAGGGTTGGCCAGTGTGGTCTAAAGATTACAGTCTGATAATCTTGAAGAAGAGGGCCAGTTATTCAATCCAAAGTGAGAGTCTGAAATCGCACTTGAGATCAAGTTATCTCGTAGATGTGTGAGTGAGGTTTTTTTGGCTTGTTGTTTCATTACAACTGCTAAGTTATTCCTTCATCGTCTTGGGTGAGATTCTTCTATTTCTCTTGGTCTTGAGTTTTGAGCTTTGAGCTTGGTGTTGGGCTTGGTTCTGTCTGGCTGTTGCGCTGGCTGCCTCGTTGGGATTTTTGGTATCTATCTATCGCGATTACAAGGTTGTAGAGGCTGTGGTGTAGATGGATGAATGATGGAAGGATTGAAGGATGGAATGATGGTTTTTTGTGGTGATGCTTTGGTGTTTGAGGAAGATGTAGTGTGTATTGTGGTGGCTGGTTGGATGGATTGGTGGGTAGGCGGGTAGGTGTTTGTTGGTATCACCTCGGCGGTGATTATGATGTCTTCATAATAGGTATACTGTTTTGATTGATATTGTGTCTAATCTATTCTAAGTTCTAAAGCTATGAAAGCTTTTTGCAATACTTGCGTACGCTAGTGAGCTAGCGCTCACATGCGTATATTCACTCGTATCGCAACAGTGTTACTCTCGTAAGTGTAGGAATCTGAAATGACTGTCTTTTCTGGTTGCACTGTTATTTCATATTATGCCCAAAAAGTTTTTGAACGTTAATTGTCTTCTCAATAACTCACCAGTCTTCGTTTGAGGTTGGTTTTGGACACTTTTTAAACATCGTATAAAGTCTGGGGATTCTTTTTATGAACAATGTTCCTATGTTATGTGATTTATTTCACAATAGAGCCTTTTTGTTTTTCAGTCATATAGTGTCTATTCATATCTTTCTAACTGATCTACAAATCGAAATTTCAACCCTACGTGAGTAATCGATGTTGTCAAGAATCACTCACTCGCTCTCGCTCGCTCACCCTTTGTGACGTGACTCGTTGAGCAAGGATGAGGATGATTAGAACTTATGGTCAAGTCACTGGTGTTTATGGTTATGACGCATTATCATTACATGAGTTTTTAGGTATGAGTGAAGGTGGAGATGGATATTCAATGCGGAGTGTGCACTTCTCTCGTTGTGTGTTTCTTTACTTTAGTACACATATTGATACTTTTGCGTTGTGATATTAATGTTGATGTTGACAACAATGCAAAACAGTTTTTAGAAACAACCCAAACTTGCGAAAACGTTGGATTGGCTTTCTTCGCACCTCTTGCATTCTTTCTCTCATGCTCTCTACGCTTTCCATCACTTTGCGTTGCCTCACGTCCCCGGGCTTCGTTTCACTTCGATTTGGGCTCCTTTGCATCCTGGCCTATCGCATCCCATCCCGTCACCTCTATTCCATTACTTGTGGTTTTCGGAAGAGAAGAATTCTACTCCGAATCCGCGAAACCTCGAATCTCGGTCCTGCGGTCGGTAGTCTCGGATTTAATAACATATCTTTACATTTGAATTCAACAACACATCCTTACATTCAATGATATTACCGGGTTACAACATTTAGCCATGTCGATAAGATCTGCAGCTGGTAGTCGAGCTGGTAGTCGAGCTGGTAGGAGACCTGTCTCGGTCTACCGTGCAGTCGCGCCTAGCTCACATAGTTCTGGATCATATTATTCGTCAATATCTGGGTCTGGCTCGTATGGCTCGTATGGTTCGTATGGTTCCAGATCATCCGACGGTGGCAGCGAAGTTCTGGAGGAACATCGGTCTACTGGCCCACGTACATCTACTCACCATCGCTCTAATGGCCCGCGTACATCTACTCACCATCAGCCACATAATGATTTTGATGAGGGTCGTTCACATATACAAGATTTGGAAAAGGGTGTAGCAGCCACACGTCAAGAGTGGAATGATGGAGTAATTGATCCTCCTGAAACGCTGTTGAGGACTGCAGTTTGCAGGCGAGAATTGGATATGATTGCCTCTTCAGATGCATGTAAGGAGCCTTCGCTCAAGCTTAGAGTTGATGGAGTGGATGAAAAGTTGAAACAATTGGAGGTCGAGGCAAATACTCGAAGGGCGCGAGAGGGAGAAGAAATGCAGGATTTGGCCAGAGACGCGGAGAGAAGAGAGAATGAGAGGAGAGGGGAATTCGAAAGGCAACAACATTTGATGCGAGAAAAAGCTGCGGAGAAGGAAAGAATTAGAGATGAGAAGGCAAGAATCAGAGACGAGAAGGAGGCAAAGAATAAGGAAAAGGCTGAAGAGAAGAAGCAGAAACGGATTGAACAGGAACAGAAGAAAAAAGTTATCCAGGATAAATTTGCAGCAGCTATGAAAGAAACGAAGAGGTTGGAGAAACTAGAAAATGAGAAGAACGAAGAGCAGCGCATTCAAGAAAAAAAGAAAGCAAATGAAAAAAAATCGAGCAGAGATAAAGCGGCAAGAGATCGAGATATCCGGCGCGAGGCTAGTGATAAACAAGAAAGAGAAGCAGAGGAAGAAGCAAGATACCAAAAGGAGTTTCAAGAGGAAGAGATGAGGTATAATGCGAAAAAGGCTCTTCTAAAAAAGGCGAAGGTGGCACTAGGTGGTAGGGAAGAAGAGAGTAGGAAGAGAGTGACAAGCAGGGCAGTGGCGTTTGCGAAGAAGGTGATGGATGATCGGGAAGATAAATTGAATCGGGAGTTGAATAGGGTGGAGAAAAAGATAAAACAGTTAAAGGGACAGTCAAGGTAGAGTGATGGTGATGATTAGGAGGGAGATTGGGTTGGGAGGCATGGATGTAAGTGATGTTTTGGGGATTATCAGTGTAAGTTTGCGGGGTGGATTTTTTAATAGGACTAGTCTGGATTTTGAAGGGGAGTTTCTTTGGAGTTGGTTTGGGTATTTGTTGGCTTGGTCTATTTCTGGTTTTGTGAGGGTTTAGTGGTAGTATGAGTATGATGCTCAAGGCGGAGGGAGATCAATAGCAAGCGTGATTTTTAGATTTAACATACTTCTTAAATTTCATAGAGGTCATCATTGCACAACTTCTGCTTTTTTGATGTATGTGTGATTTCTTGATGATTTTTTCACCGTATCGACCTGGATTTCTATAAGGGTGTCAAAGTATTTTACACAGAAGGTTTATTCACATGACATGAGATTCAACGAACTGAGGTTGTAGTGCCAAATATTTTATTAGGAGAGCGGCTTTCTTTTTAAGTGACTGTCAAAAATTTAGTGAGATATCATTGAAACCATAACCTGGAAGCTCTTGAGGTGACTCGAATATCTCCAACATGACTCCTCCGTTGTAACACCTCATGATATAAATAGCCTCGAACCATTACAGTGAATAAGTGATAGATACATCACGTCGATGGAAAATAGAAGAAGGGTCTCCTTATTTTCATATATTATGGCTGCCTTGGTTTTGTGAGCATCGCTTATGATTGTTCTTAATAGGGTAGATAGGGTAGCTTGATACACTGAACAGTTGTCACGAGAGGTTTTTACTCGTGGATTATATGCACTCCGAGATATCTCATTCACTGTATGCTCGTTGTAAGATATATTCTCTTTTTCAAGTGAGCGATAGCTCAGTCGTTCGTGAGTAGATTACTTGGGTTATAGTATTTCATCTCCTTTGTTTTTGAACAATTCCGACATTGTATATTCAAAGCGCCGGATATAATGCTAAAGAGGAGATAGAGTTTCATACTGCGCATAGAGATCACCTAGCCTACAACGCTGATCCTTCGCAGAAACCTCGAGTGAGCTCACAACCGCGGATCTTCTTGCAGAGAATGGGTTACAATGTTTTTATCTTCACGCAGTCTCTAAAATACGGTGTAGTATTGAGTTTTATATAGAATATTACAAAGAAGGAGGAGTTGCTTAATTCCTCGGGTAGGATGGACTTTGCTGCTTTCGAGTTTCAGGTTGTAGTGACTGTGTGAGAATTTGATTCGCTCGCTTAAAGCGCTGAGCGGTTAGTTTTTTTCATGATGGTTGTTGAGGGCTAAGACCTTTAAAGTGGACATCTTGATGTCTTGATATACTCCAAACCCCTATCTCTGGTGCTAGACTCGTTGAGCTTGAGTCCACGATCTTGGCATATGATATTGCAATGGTCACAAGTGTAAAAATGAAGCGGGCAATATTGATATCTTGATGTTATTTCTATGCGAGTGGAGATACTGAATACAACAAGTGAGCTTCACTAGTCATCAAGCCTAATCGATCCTATTTATACCTCTATTTCTCCCAAACCAACCTTCCAATTCTCCACCCCATACCCTCAACTCCCAATCCCTAGCCCCAAAACTAAACCCTACCAAACCTTCCACACCGTCCCAAAAATCTCTCAACCTCCAACATCGTCACCCCATCCTCTCATACTCCTCCCACAAATTCCGTCTCAACTCTTTTCTCGTTCCTTCGTTTACACTGTGTTCCCGCACCGTATATTCCAGAATCCGATCCCGATATTGATTCAAGATGGTATAATGATGTTGGATCAACACGCCCACGCGGTTCATTTCGTTCATGTTTTGGTTTTGTTGAGCGCTGGTCCAGAGGGTGCGGAGCTGTTTGCTGCTGTAGATGTTGGAGTCGCAGGAGCGGTGGAAGATGGGGAAGGGTTGGGTTGTGCGGGGAAGAGAGTTGGATGGGATGTGGGTGGTCGTGGGATGGGAGAAGGGGATCATTTTGTGTTGTTTTGGTGGAAGTACTTTGGTTTGTTTGTTGATTGGGTTGTGTATATCTGGTTATAGATTTATATTGCATTAAGACTTGGGGGTTAGAGATAGAGGGGATAAGGGACATGTTTATAGAGGGTTGAATATCTTTTTGATTCTTGCAGTTGCATTCTGAATGGACGTTTCCATAACATTTGAAATGGGAATAGCTAGCATAAGAAAACATTCAAAATATCAAATCGGCTCTCAGACGATGAATCAACTTCTCGGCATAATACATTCACAATCAAGATACTGCCTTGCTAGATGGATTCTCATGAATTCCCACGATGTCACATTTCTTGAGGAAACAATATTAAAACACAAACATCACATTATCAATATTCATACTTATGACTCCATCTATGTATATGACCCAGTGATCCAATACCTACTTCCCAAAATAGCTTTAACAAAAGCCAGTCACTCCCAAAGAATCATAGCTTTATCTCCCAAATACCCCACACCCACGAGTTTTCCACGATTTCCCCACGCGAGCTACCCCTTTTACCACATGGCACCCTTGAGATCCGTCAGAATCCTACATCTACCACATGGAAACCTATATTTTCAACGAGATATGTTTTCAGTCATCCTTCTACAATACAATGACTCCAAAATATGTGGTACATATGATAGTCATCGAGGGGGGGTTCGAGGGGGATAGCTGTGTCTAAAAAGGCATAAATAGTTTCTGTTACCCCCTTTGGAGAGACCTTTCCTTTGAACTATCAACATCAAACATCTGGATCTCAGTTCCAAACAGAATCAAAAACGAACAAAACTTCTCACTTCAAAGTTCACCTCGAAAATTCCTTCAATCTCCTCTTCGAACATCTCAGCACACAAGTCTATCCCGAATAATCAGCTCCAAACATTTCGAAATCTCCAATCCTATCCAAACCTCATTCTCAATCATCCACTGAGATCCCCAAACCATCCGCCAAAATGCCCAGTTTCGACGAAGCCTGCTTCAAATTCCCTGATAAAACCCCCGTCGCCCAAATGACCATCGCGCAATGCAATGAAGAGAAAGCAAAAAACACAAAACAAATCGCAAGACTCACAAGCAACCTCACTAATCAACCACCCGCCCTTGATAACGTCACCGACCCAAACGTATTGTTGAGAGCAAAGATCGATGAACTTAAAGCTCGAGAAAAAGAACTCGATAACCGAATCACAACGGCGAATAAGTGGAGTGATGCTGTCTTTGGAGGGAATGCGGGGGCATAATTCTACGAGCCGAAACAAATCATCGCAGTCGCCATCGGGTCCACGAGCTCCTAATGCTTCAACTCGGCGTTAAGCTCCTCTCTTCTACAGCATCCAACTGTCTCTCAGACAACATGGTAGAAGAATCCGCACTCCCAATCCTCTCGATTCAATTTTGGATATCCTCGGTTAGACTACTCGTTTGCATTGGACTTTTTGTCTTTTCTTCTTTTTTCTTTTCTCTCCTGTCTTGGATCAAGCATTTTGGTCAGTACATATCGTTAGATTTCTTTTCTTTTACTTTCTCTGTTTTGAATAAATCAAGCAGTTTAAACAGTACATACATATCGTTGGATTTCTTTTTCTTTCTCCTCTCTCTCCTCCTCTATTTCAAGCAGTCTTTACCACCAAACCTCTTCACACCACACCAACACTCATTTATACACAAGCATTGGATTTCACACCCTAGGGATACATATTTAGATAGTCAGTCAGACATATAGACGCATAAATAGATAGATAGACACACAATTAATAGATAATTAATCATTCCCCAAAACAAAAATTCCATTTCAATAAAGTTCTCTCTTTTATTAATTTGGTCTGATCTGAGCAATCCGAACTAATTACTTTTCTCGATCAATTAAACTCAAATATATCGAATCACCTTTCATTAATATATCCTCCATCTCTCCATCTCTCCATCTCTCCATCCATCCATCTCTCCATCCATCCATCTCTCCATCCATCCACACCCACACCATCACCAAAACACAAACAAACAAGAAATCCCACCCCACACGCACTAGTGGCCCAACGCCCCAAAAATACGCGAGATAAAAAGGGGTCCCTTCAAATTCCTCAAATTCCCTTCAAATTCCCTCTAACTCCCTTCACATTCACACTTCACAATTCACATTTCACATTTCAAATTTCACCTCCCACTCACCTCTATTCCAGACTAGAAATATTTCAACAATATATAACAAAAACCCGAAATTTCTTTCTTACCTCCTACACCCTCCTCATACACACTCCATCCATCACACCTCTAGACCACGAATTAGACAAACTTTACACAAAACCAATGATACCCCCAACTCAACTCAACTCAACCCATACCACCACCTCATATCTATACATCATGGATAACGGATCTCGAAAAGCATATTTCTACGTAAATCATGTGTTAATTCGCTGATGCACATTCTATACGAACTAGTAAGAGTCTTCCTCTATACATTCATGTGTGCAAAACTCCGCTTTAGAAACATCCCCAATTCAACCATTTCTTCGCGCTCGTAACCATATTAATCGGTTAACAATGCAATCATTTATTCATTCCTTAATCTTTCCTTCATTCTTTATATGGATTTTCCTCTCCAAGTTCCTTTCCCAAACTCAATACGCCTTTCCAAACAGGCAGAATTACAATAGAAGAGATAACACCAATTCATGCCCATTGTGTATTGCAATTCTCCTTTTCCCATCGCTTCACATCATGTTAACAATTATGCAGTGGCGCTATGCTGAAAGATCCATCGGATCTTTTGAAGCTGCATCCGCCGCAGCCGCAGCAACAGTAGCTCGCTCAGCTCTTTTCCTTTCCTTGATCTCCTCTTTCCAGAGCCTAATCTTTTCCGCCAATTCTGGAACTGGAATTACATCCTCAATCTTCAACGGATCACGATTATATGGATCTCTTTGATCACCCAATAGTAAAGCACTGATAGTGCCTCTATCTACAACCTCTTTGCTGGTAGGTAACATAACTGGATCTTCCATGAGATCTGCGGAGATAGGATCCAAGAATTCATCTGGTATTTCACCCAAATCTTGTTCATCTTGATCCTCAATCTCTTTGGCAATCTTGAATCGGGTCTTGAGACGTTCCCAGGCATTGAGATCTTCCGCTGATTTCAGTCCGTAACGTGTCAAAATTCGAGAAGCGCTATCGAAATTCTCGGGTTTATATGAGCGACCATCTCTAGCCACAGCTTCCACGAATGGTTCATGAACCCCGAGATTGATGTAAATTTCCACGAAATCGCTAAGGAAGGCCCTTGGTCTGAATTGGTACTTTTCCAGGTTCTCAACCTTCAAGTTGGTTGATTTACTTCCAGTGATCGTATCAAGTGTGTAGTTCAGCATTGCTGCTACACGATTAACAATCTCCTTCATAGTGAAGGAGGCACTCAAGGTAGAAGAGAACAACTTCATCATAGCAAGGGTCTCATTGGTCAATTGCATGTAGGATTGCGCTTGACCTTCCGCTTCACGTAATGCAGTTTCTTTCTGCTCTCGTTCCTCGGCAGTCATTGATGATTGTTCTGCCTCCTTTCTGAGTTCAACTTGGAGGTCATGGATCTTTGGAAACTTTGTGAGAGCCTCATCGAGAACAAAAGTGGCATCATTCAGTAAAAGGTTAACGAATCGCAAGAAAAAGTCCGTATTAGTTCTGAGTTATATTAGTACCTTTGAAAATCTTCAGATTATCATGCTGTACATACTTGCTTTCTTGCGACAAGCGCTGTCTGTAAATATCAGTCGGCCATACGCACTTGATGACTTGAAAGATTTCGTATCGAATATTGAATTTGTCGTAAAATTGAGTGTGTGCTCCAGTAGATTCACATTCTGAAAACAATTAGTACTATGGAAGTTCATCATTTGAATTGTAAACTTACCAATATAGAACTTCAATAATGCGTGAAGTAAGTGATCATTAGCGAATTTTGATCCCATCAAAACATCACCCAAAACACCTTTAGTGCGATGATACACTGGCCAGGTACCAGCAAAAAGTAGAGATACGAGTTTTGCCTTCAGGTAAGGGTTCTTGATATACTCGGAATTTGTCAAGAAAGTGATGCTGAGTGCAATGATCTCATCGCCAACAGCTGAAATCATAACATCAGGGATGAATCTACAAAAATTTAGCCTTTTCCTAAGAGTTGAAGAATAGAGGAACTAACCTAATGATAAAGTTAAAATTGGTAATGATATCCTCTAAAACGTATTCTGGAAGATAATCAAAAGCGGCAGGAGGTGTTGATGGTAAAGGCAATCTAATTTTTGTCAGTTAACTGTAATGGGAATGTCTCAAGATGTATAATTATACTTAATAGTTTGACTAGGAGTATAATTAGACTCCGTAGCGATTCTCAGAAGCCAGACAGTAACGTATCTCATGAAGATCAAAGATTTTGCTTGCATAGGTTTGTCAGACAGAACACCTTCAATGGCCATTCTCTTCGACATTGCATTTTCTAGGACCTCATTGATTCTTTTGATTTTCAGATCAATTAAAACAGCAGCCCGAGGATCCTGAATTTGATTAGTGACAAACGTGGGGATATTTCGAGGCTGGGTGCTTGACTTACCCGTGCCACTTTGACACGTTCTGCTTCAATAGCAGTCAATTGCTTTTGAATATATTTGATATCTTTCTCCAGACTCTTATGTGTGGCATTAAGAGCTTCACTACCATAGTGATGAGCAGCCAGCGTCAGAAAGAAGATCTCGGAGATGAAATTAGAAGTGCCATCAACAGTGGCCTCATAGTACTTTTCGGAAGCCTTCTCATCAGCGTTCAACTTGGTCTCGTCCTTAATATCAACACGAGGAGCACGTCGTAGATAATCGATATCGATCTTTGAAATCTTCGAGAATGTGGTATCCATAAATGGCTCACAAAGACCATCTAAAACGACAGTAACATTATGCATAAAGCCATCAGAAGATACTTCTTTTGGGTCTACCTGAAGTGCTCGACGCTTGTGATTTTGATTTACGATGTAGGCAAACCAATCCAAGGTTTTGCTTTTGGCTATTGGACTTGCTCGAACAAAGTGGTTGATGATATCAAGTAAATCTTTTTGATGGGTTTGTAAGGTCAATCGTAACGCATCTTGAGATGTGGCAATATGTCGCCTATCTATCGTCTTTGGCGCACTGAAGTATTCCCTAGTAACTTCTTGTTGCAAAGGAGATATTCTGAAGAAAGGGCCAAGTAGTGTGTACTTTTCGATGGTATTTGCTGAAACAGCCATTTGGAATAGTGGAGATTCGGCAATAGCTGTAGTGATTGGGTTGAACTGCGTAAGCAATTTGAAAGCCTACAAATGACATTAGTTCCAGTCGTTGATCTCTCCATTCTACGCTTCTTACATGAACGTATGGCTTGTAAACATCATTCATAGTCATATTAGAGAGTTTACTACTCATGCCTACAAATGCTTTGACAATCATAGATTTGGCCATATCATCCTCCGCAAAGCGAGCTACAGCTTCTTCGAGAAAGTCGGGGCAGATGCCTTTATCCTCACCAGGCTCCAACAAGAAGTAAGGGGTGAGGACATCTGTAGTTAGATTGATCTCTCGTCTGGGAAATGTTAGCTAGATGTAGACTTCCTCGGTCCCAAGAAACAAACTGGAAAATGTCCGGCATTTCGGCAGCAAAGATGCAATTGCTCATACACAAGCGTTTAGCTTCCTTAAGAATCGCATCCTTCTGCCCCGCATAACCCCGCAAACCCTTTGAAGCTTTTATAATTCGTTTCCAACATGGCAAGAGGTAGTCGAACACGGGTTTACTATGCGGGATGGTAGAGCACGCTTCCATAAGAGCACCATCAAGCTTATCGGCCGACAACCTAATCTCCACATGTTCCTCCTCGAGCTCTTTTCTCAATTCGGGCAGGAATATCAGTTTATGATTCGAGGAATCGGTTCCCTGGTTGGGATCTAGAGTAATTCGAAAGATATGAGCAAGAATTCGATTTTCGTAGTCCTCTAAAGACTCTTCGGCGAGATTAGGTTTGCGGGTGGTTGGAGCTGGGCGAGGAGGTGTCTGCATGTCTGATTCAGTTCTGGATCGTTTGCCTAGAACGTTTTGAGAAGGATCAGTTCTTACAGACAATGGTTTCTCAGTAGAGCTTGCTTGCGCGCCCAATTTCGCGAAAGGATTAGCAGCTGGTGTGGGAGTGACGCTCGTAGGTTTAATATCGATAGCTGATTTA